TATGAAATCTAAGGAAGTAGTCAAACAACGTACTCTAACTGATAGAGGAGGGATAAAGAAGATCTTTATCTTTTAAGATCCCCACTAGGTAGCAATAGTGAAGGGAAAGTTCTAGGTTGTAAAAGTAAAAGACAGCAGGAAATACATTCCTCTGCCCCAAGATCTAGGAAAAAGCTTCTAATAATCACTTAAATAAATGTGGATTAACTTCTATATGATAAGGTGAACAACGTCATAAACTGTCAGAAATGACTCAGAACTCAGCTCTCCTCAAGTTTTGCTTGGCTAACACAGTTGTTCAGTTTGTTTTGTTCAGATTGAATGCCCTTAGGCAAAGTAGGCAATGATCAGTTCACTTCCATTCTTCTTACCCTCTCCTCCTTCCTCAACATGTAACATAAATGTGTTATGTAGCTGGCCTCTGAAGGCACTGGAGTTTGAGACCAGCTGCATCCTGACAAGTCACCTGAAACAACCACAGGAGGTACCAAGTGTGTCTTCAAGGTCATTATGAGCCAGATGATCAAGAGTCTCTCCTATCTTTCTCTCTCCCACCACTCTCCACCCTACCACCTTTTTTTTTTTTTTTTTACCCAGGATATCATTTATCACGTAATTGGAGATAACTGGCAAAATTAAAGACAGCCTTGGAAAACTACGACTGCAGGGGCATATGCTCTTTATGGAAAATACAGAGGGACTAGGAGCCAAGACCTGGACTCTAATCTCTGTATCCCAATATTTCACAGCATAACCTAGACACGATACTATCTCTCTGGAGTTGAATTACTTTCCTTTCTATAAAATGACATTTCAATTAGATAAATTTTAAATCTCTCTATAGCTATATAAATATATTTATGTTGAAATAAACTGGAAATTTTCAGCAAGTATAGTTTGTTCTTGCTTTGGATGGGGTATAGGAAAGTGGGAAAATGTGCTAGGGAAATGGGCTGACATGGTAACTGAATGGGAAAAAGGAAAGAGACTAAAATGGGCCTCCCTCTGAGGAGGACAATGAAAACAAGCTATACCGTTTTACTCATGGTTGACCCTACTTACCTTTCACTCAGTATGGGAAAACACAAACTATGAAGATGTTATTATTTCATATGACATAATGAAAATATTCTATCTCACATCATCACTGCTTCACGTGATTTGTTACCTTTTTTTTTTCACCTTTTACTTTTAAATATGGCCAACTTTGCCATAATGGAACTTTGTCCTCAGCTTACACACTGATGTATCACTGTACTTTCTAGATTCTTAATCTTGGGACGCCTGGGTGGCTCAGGTCATGATCCCAGGGTCCTGGGATGGAGCCCTGCGTCGGGCTCCCTGCTCCACGGGAGGTCTGCTTCTCCCTCTCCCACTCCCCCTGCTTGTGTTCCCTCTTTTGCTGTGTCTTTCTCTGTCAAATAAATAAAATCTTTAAAAAAAAAAAAATAAAGATTCTTAATCTTAAATAAGATTTTCTTAAAGGAGATTTCAACCAGTGTGAATGGTAAAAACAAGAGAAAAGAAGTCTACAAGTCAATAACAATAAGCAGTCCTCAAACAGCCAGAACCAAGGATGGATGTGAATCCATGTGGTGTTCCGTAAATCCCAGATGGCTTTTTAAAAAACAAAACAAGCAAAAGGCTAAAAGCAGGCTATAGAGGACTTCGCAAGCAAGAGTCAAGAGCATGAACTTTATCCTGTGAACAATGAAAAACCTAAGAGATTTTTAAGAGTGATTTGATTAAATCTGTGTTTTTGAAAGATAACGCAGATGACAGAGTACATATACAATATTTACAAAATAGAGCATAAAATAATTATGTAGGTTGATATTTTTCTACAAAAACAATAACATGAAATTAGAATAAAACACTCATTAAAACCATAAAATAAATATCACAAACACTAAAGTATTATTAAAGAAATTCATAGTGGGTTTTGCCTTGCAAATTCCTTAAAGGGGTAAATAGTCACTTAAACTTTAAAAATTTTTTTAAAAGCCTTCATACTACATGTGTATATCTTTTTCAAATAAAATTAACACTTTAAGTAATATTTATGGGCTTTAAGGCCACAGAATCTTTAAATATTTACCCAACCATTTAGAAAGCACCTAGCATTTTAGGTATAGAAAAATTTCTCACACACTAACTTACATCTTTCAAAGCCTCGTACTTACCTAGTCTATCGCACAACAAAGAATCTGGCTGAAAAGCTGAAAACTACACTGTAGACTACACAAGTAAAATGGCATAGATATTTAGTTTGTTAAATTCTGGCTTCTATGTAGACAACTGATTTTTTTTTCTTTTAGCTTCCTATTAATTTCAGCTGACTGCTGGCAAATGTACTACAGACTTAGCGCTTCTTTCCATTAACCCACCAGCACTAACTAGATTTAAACTTTAAATCTCTAAATGCTTTGTGAATAACAACAAAAACCCTTCGCTAAGAACTGACACAGACACAGCATTTACACCAGATGCTACCAATCTAATTATGAAAATAAAGTATCTTACAAACATATGCCCTGATTTTTCAACATACCTAACATCCCAAAACTTAAAAATTATTTTAAATCTGCTCTGACACAATTAAAAATGTTTATTATTAATGAGTTTTCAATTGTTTTTCAAAGAGGTTCATAAAAACATTTAAGTACTTAAGGAAATGAAAGTATAATTATTTTGTTATCAATCCAAAAATGAATCTACATACACTTTTAGAAGTTCTCTATTCAAAAAACAGAGTATTTGTTCATCTTTTCCAATTAAAAAAAGATAGCAGTATTAACACTCAACATTTAAGTTAAAGTTCAAGAACTACTAATTTGTGATGTTTTAATTACATTTTTATTTATAACTTACTAAAAGAAATGGATTCTAAAATTGGAAGTTATTATAGAATTAATGTACTGGGATCCCCTAACTTGACAGGATCCTGAGACTGAGAAAAATTCACTCACTGACTCTTCCAGGATTACACAGCAGAGCCAAGATTTTACCCTTGACCCTCTGCCGATGAATTCAGGACATTCCCCCCTGTATCAAGTTCTACCCAAAATCTTTTTTGTCTTCCTTCACTTTCTGAAACAAAAAGGTGGCTTCACAATTTTCATATACAAAGTTCAGCACTAAAATTAGAAAATCTCTTATCTTTTACTTCCATAAAAGTACTGCCCTTTTTAAAAGTGAAATTGCATTTTCCTCTAATACAAGTAATAAATGAAGCAACCTAGCAATAACAACAACAGTGTACCTAGCTGAAGGCTGAAAAGGGTTGCTGCTTTGGAAAGGGCATCAGACTAGGATTAAGACGACCAGGAATTTTCAATTTACAAGACAACAGCCACAATGGACTATGCCAACAGATTACAATTAAAATACATTAAAGTGTAATACTGTTAAGTACAGGAAATTTGTCTACAAATGTGATGAGATTGCTAAAACACTTTTCCGGTGTTAAAAAAATACAATCTATTCACATATAGTCAAACCAAATGCCATTCAGGCTATGAAATGGGCTGGTATTACGCTCACTGTTCTGCAGTAAATCTTCTCACAACAGTTTTTCTCCTGACACACATTTTTCTAAGCATTGTCTAGTATCACTGGCTGTAAACTAAGAAAGCAAAAGGCATAACATTTTTTGAACAATTCTTTCTAGCATGTGGCCAAATAACTACAGACCACAAAAGCGGCCTCTGAGAGCACTTTTCAAGAAGTAAAGTGTGGTCTCACTGAAACAGTGCAGATCAGTGTTAAACATAAAATCAGTGAAGTAGCTTGAAGATTATTAAGAAAAGAGCATCAGATGTAGCAAGAACAAGAAACGTTTGTGTCAAATACACTGCATTACAGTGTAAAACACATCACCAATCAAAAAGTCTGAAAACCAATGGGATAGACTCCTACTCTCCTACTTAAAACCTCTACACACATCCTTTTAGTTGCTTAGAAAACAGCATTGAAAACTTGAAAGGTCTAGGTTCAAATCCCTGCACTGCCACTTACTGGATGTGTGAAGTTGGGTAGCCTCTATAAGCCTCAATTTACTCAGCTCTAAATTGGGATTGTCATCTACCACACAGGGTTTTTGTGAGCATTTGGGACAATATATGTAATATTTCGCACCTAGCACATGCTCACTGAATAACAACTATATTCGCTGATTTCTTGGTGATGTAGAACAAGATTTCTCTAAACCACATAAAGAGAAACTCTTCCCTGCGGATGATTTCAATTCCTTTAAAAAACAAAAACATGTAAACCTACGGGGAAAAAAAAAATGGAAATGCTTTTGGCATCTTTCCAAACATTACTAAGTTTAAAGGTTAAATTGTTACAACATTCTCCTAATTATGCAACAAATACACACGACCATGAGTTAGTCTGTAAAAGATTATAATGGCCTATATTACTGAAATGGGGGAGGGGGAAGAACCCTTAACAATTATTTCCAACGATCTTTTCATCTACACGAAGCCTCAGTTCCGAAGCTCATCGCTGTTCATTATATGATATCAAATTCTTCCTCTCGGTTATCAAGAATGAAAGGGCACTGATTAAAATTTATATATATATACACACGTATTCAATCTAATGCCTGTATGTTATCACTGGGGAGACACCACCATTATAACAGCAACAACTAGCATCAAAAAGACCTACATCAGTGTATACTAAAGTGGCAGTCGTCGATCTATTAAACCGCAAATAATTCACTTCATTCCTGAGAACTCATCTATCGCATGAGCAAAGTCTTTAAAAAGTGCAATATGATCAGTCTCCTCTTTCATTTCCATTCCAAGATAAAAGGTACCTCTGCGTGTTTAAAAAGCCTCCTGTAATTTAGGAATTCTTTCCAGAACAAAACTTTTTTTTTTTTTCCCCACCCTGGAAGTGAACATGCTTTCAAGTACGCTAATTCAGGTTGGGAACTGAAGCGATAAAACCGCGCTCACTTCCTTACCAAGCCGTGCTCTCTGGTAACATACCTGTTCTCGGGAAATGCAAGGCAACGAAGGTCTCCTGAACATCTTGCAACTGCCGGAGTAACCGGCCGAAGTTTCTCCGAACGACACGCAGCTGGACCTCCTGCGGGGTCTGATCACAGGCACTTTGTCCTCGGAGGCACTGGCCAAGCGAGGATGGTGAGGGGCTTCCCTGATCTGAAAGAAGTGATCCAAGCCCAGGGCTAGCAGGCAGCCGGCGTCCCCGACCAGGCAGGAGAGCAGCGGCCTGAGGGCAGCGGGCAGAGACCCGAGGCCGGTGAAGGAGACCCACCAGACGAAGCTGGAGAAGAGCAGCACCAGGATGCTGTGCCGGAGCCTCGGCGGGTGCGCGAGCGTCAGCAAGCCCACGCAGCTCAGCACCAAGAACAACCTGCCCGCCACCGCCGGGGGCGTGTGCGGGGCCGCGGCGGAGGCCCCCGCGTCTCCGGACCCCCAAGCCCAAGCCCACGCCTGCCACACCAAGAAGTCCCCCAGGTAACAGCAGGCGGGCAGCGCCAGCAGCCACCAGGAGCCGCCGCCGCTCCGGCCCGGCCCGGGGCCCCGCTTGCTCCGGGTCAAGAAGCAGGTGAGGAAGAAAAAGGCACAGGCGATGCTGAACAGGGGGCTGAGGCTGTGAGAGCACACGCTCAGCAGGGTCCGCAGCCGGGCGGCCCCGGCAGCCCAACTCCCGGGCCCCGAGCCGAGCAGCAGGGCGAGGACAAAGGCGGCCAGGGCGCCCAGCGAGAGGCGCGCCCGGGCGGAGGGGGAGCCGCGGCGCGACTGCTGGGGGGAGGCCGGTGGCGGCAGCAGCAGCTCCACGTTGCAGAAGCGGCAGAGGTGGAAGAAGAAGCCGCGCGGAGGGTCCTGCCGCAGGGGGCTCACGCAGCTCTTCACGTAGCCGTTCCTCAGACTCTCGGGGGGCGAGGCGGCCCCGTCCGGCGGCTGCGGGCACCGCATGGCTTTGGCGTCTCGCTCGTGCCTCCTCACGGCCCGGACCGCGGCTGCCGCTCGCGCTCCCTCAGCCCCCGCCCCCGCGC